CTCAAACTCATCAGGAAAAGAGTCATTTGGTGGGAGTTAGAAAGACTAGCACCATTGTTAGATGCTGACGAGTTAGTTCTGACTCACAGCAACCCTATCTGTGCACAACAGAACGAAACACTACCCGGTCCTGTGCCATCCTCACAGTTGTTGTTACGCTTGAATCCAGTGCTGCTAGAAGAGACGAGCACTAGAAGAGACATACAAACAATTAAACCACACTACAATTCTTAATTCCTTTCAGTAGAATAGTGTGGATAAGGACATGAAATTTGGAGTTAGATGTGGGTTAGAATCCTGGCTTCATCACTTACTAATCATTTGATGATAGTATAATGAATGATGTAACCGCAGTACCACCAGGGCTCCTTGTAGGAAGAATAGCATGATTAAAGGTACAGGACGAGGAAAGTAGAGGGTCTTCTCAGTGATAGCAAGTTGTCTAGATTGATTGGTGTAATGAGCGTATACTAATTATCGATAATTAGTATTTGAAGATAGTATGAAATAGACACCCTGTTAATTTCCATTTTACAGTTAAGGGAAGTGAGGCTGAAAGACCTTCATTAACTTCCATCAAAGTCACCCAGCTAGCCAGCCACTGGCAGAACCAGAACTCTAACCCAGAACTGTCTGATTTCAGAATCTGCACTCCTACTTTTTATTCTGAATTCAGACTCAGTTTTGAAGGGCTTTGACTGATAATTTGGACTTTATACTTAAAAGCAACCTAGAGCCATTTATAGTGTACAATGTCATTATTGGGGCTTTGTTTTAGGAAGATTAATATGACAACTGGGTGTGCGTTGAATTGTCAGTAGAAAGAACTAGAGAAGAGGATACCAGTTCTTTTGGTTGCAGGCAGCAAAAGCAGCTCTGTTTATCTCAGGCCAAAAGAAGTTTATTGGCAGGGCAATAGAGAGGGAAGAGTTAAAAACTGTTTGGGTCCAAAGAGCATAGAAGTGTGGTTTTTCTCTCTTACCCTTTTGCAATTACTGACATACTTTGTTTACGTGTTCGCCACCCCTAATATGTAGAATTGGGTTTTTTGTAAGTATTATATACATGGTCAGAGGACTATGGTGATGTGTTGGAGTGTGTTATATACGTTTTGCCATGTATACAAAGTCTAGAGCTGTCTGACTTTTAAAGAAATGCCAGAAAATACAAAACAGCCTTACTGAGTTTCCGTGCTACCGTGAAACTGTCCAGCTAAGACGGACAGAGAACAGCTAGGAAAACATTGGGTTCAGAAGCCACTTTTAATCATGTGCTTAATGTTTCGTTGGAATTTTGATTTTCTTTTCATTGCCAGGTTTTAAAAAAAGATTTATATGTCAATAGAAATTTGTTTCTTCTTAATTAAGTATGTGACAAAAGACCGAGGCGAACAAGTAATCACTGATAGTAGAATCTTCCCCCAGATACAAGTTCTGGGTGTCTCAGAGTAAAGGTGCATGCGCTGCTTTTCCATTGGCCCAAAGCCAGATCCCTGGAATTTTGATGAGCCTTCTCTTCCCAGACAGCTACTATATCCTGAAAAGGCAGAGAGCTTGGGACAGAATTGAGGTTTTATTTCTTGCAATCACAAGTGTATGTCCTAAATAAATAAAAAGAAGAAATTATACAATCAAATCCCAGGAATAAATTTAAATGTAGAATAATATGCAGCTTATCATTGGAATGTGTCTACATAGAAGTATTCCAGTAGGCATTTGTATAGTTCCAGGGTGTGTATTTGAGAACATTTTGTTCTGAAAATTTCCTATGGGAATTTTCAGATTTCTGAATACATGTGTTCTCATAATTATGTTCACAAATCTTGCTTGTACATTACTCAGCTATTGTTTATCTTTGGAGGATACCTAGCATATTGCATTTGCTTCATTTTTCTTCTAGGCCAGATAATCATTAAGATAACTAGATTGCAGAAGATGCTACTTAAAAAATGTAATTAGATTTTAATCGTCTTTATAATACATGAGGGGAGCTTCAAAAAGTAGGTGGAAAAATTCCATTATCTTTTAATGCCATCTCTCCAGGAACTTTTTGAATCCCCCTTGTATATGTTGTTTGTGTATCTGCTTCTTTATTCCCCCATTGATGGCAAGGGACAGTACTTTGATCTCAGAGACTAGTACATGGAGACCTACTCTGGAGTGTGCATGTGTGGTTAGTGTATGTATAGAGCTCATTTCAGCTTGTAGAAAATGAGGCCCCATATGCTTAACAGCTGCTCTTTTCTTGTTCTCTAGGGTTTCGCTATGGAAGTGATATAGTTCCTTTCTCTAAAGTGGATGAGGAACAAATGAAATATAAATCGGAGGGGAAGTGCTTCTCTGTTTTGGGATTTTGCAGATCTTCTCAGGTACAGCACTTATTCTACAATTCTACAAAACAAATGAGCTCTTTTCTAGTTGCTACTTGATGGTGCTTTTGATTGGTCCTTTTCTTTACAGCATGTTTTTATTTCACTTTTAGTTTCTCTGAAATGTAGTCTGGGGGTTAGTGTTATCATCTTTGATTCTTTGAGGAAATAAACCAAGGTATTATTTAAGTGACATCTGGTTTTAGCATAAGTCTAAAGTATAGATTCTATTAAAATCTCTTCTTTGCTGGACTTTGCTCATAGTGGCTTTAAAGAAATAGGATTCAGTTCTTTGTTGCTTTGTTACTTTTTCTAAACTGTTGTATATAAAATGAGTGTTTTAGAGTTTTATGGGTTTTGACAAACCATAGAACTCTTAGAATTCCCAGCATTGAGGAAACTGACCTATAAGTCATTTCTTAGTTTTTAATACTTCTTTTGAGGGCGTGGGTTGGAGGGTGGGAGTTAAAGAGTTAAGGTTAGAACTGTGGTTAGGACTAGGGATGTGGTGTTAGGGTTATGATTAGAACTAGGGTTAATTGGAGCAGGGGTTGGGCTAAGGCTAGGAGTGAGGCTTGGTCTGGTTTTGGAGTTACAGTTATTTTCCTGAAATCTACTTGCTTTCACCTTCATTTTGAAGGTCTGTAACTATATTATTTCCTCTTTTTAACTTTGTTTTATTTTGTTGTGGTAGTTGCAAACTGATATGTCTGGTTTTCTATTTTCAGTGTTTCAGGTTTGTTTTCTTTTGAATATTTCCGTATCTGGATTGAGTTCTGTGTGATATTGTCATGTATTGTTGTCTGTTATTGTTGGTTCTCTGTCTGTAACTCCCTTTAGTATTTTTTGTAAAGTTGGTCTTGTTGTTATTAAGTGCCATCGAGTCATTTCTAACCCATAGTGACCCTGTATGGGACTTCCATGGAGCGACTGGTATGCTTGAATCACTGACCTTGTGCAGTCCAGTACATTAGCCACAGAGCCACATCAGGACTCCAAATTTGGTTTAAGTTTTGTAAATTCTTTTTAT